CCTTTGGGATACGTCCCTAATCCTTGGGATACGTCCGTAACCTTTGGGATACATCCCTAATCCTTGGGATGCGTCCCTAACCTTTTGGATACATCCCTAACTTTTGGGATACGTCCCTAACCGTTGGGATACGTCCCTAATCCTTGGGATACATCCCTAACCTTTGGGATACGTCCCTAATCCTTGGGATACGTCCCTAACCTTTGAGATACGTCCCTAACCTTTGGGATACATCCCTAATCCTTGGGATACGTCCCTAACCTTTGGGATACGTCCCTAATTCTTGGGATACGTCCCTAACCTTTGGGATACGTCCCTAATCCTTGGGATACGTCCCTAATCCTTGGGATACGTCCCTAACCTTTGGGATACGTCCCTAATCCTTGGGAGACGTCTCTAATCCTTGGGATACGTCCCTAATCCTTGGGATACGTCCCTATGTCTCTCCCTCTTCGGTTAAAAGCGTTCGGAATACGTTCCAAAGCTCACACCATTCCGAAACACCGGGATATGTCCCTATGTTTCTTCCTGTCCCATTTCCCCACACGATTTCAGCGTGTTTGGAATTCATCTTAGGTTGCATTGTCATGCACACCTCTTCACTTGCGTTGTCACGCACATTCCACTTGCATTGTTTTATCAAACCGGCTTCGCGAAAGCGTATAAGTCTAATTACAAGCCAGCTTCACGTAGTGTATAAGTCCAATTATCAAAATCTTCCTGCATATCATTTGCATCCTGCCCCTGAACTACGCTAGTTTGATTCCTTGCAAAGGGATACGTAGGCAGCCAGCGGGCACAACCATTCATTCATTTGTATTTTGTTTGTTTGTCCAAGTCTTCGGCCTTGTCAAAAATAGGTCGTCTCTGGGCTTTGACATTACTCCCGTCATTCTTATGACTTCTGAGTTCTGTCAAAGTGGGGCAACAGTAGACACCCCATTTTTGACCGCCCTTAAGACTTGGGCACCATTGATGGTTTACTTGGTGGAGAAAGGTGTGCAGGGAAAATGTTCAGTTTCTTCGGCAAGGAGAGAGGAAAATCTTTCAAAACACTTTGTTTAGGGGGTTTGGAGTTGAAGAAGAGAGGAAAGGAAAGGAGAAAACTAGTTTGGGAGAAGTTCGGCATGGATCTCCCGTCATTCTTATGACTTCCGAGTTCTGTCAAAGTGGGGCAACTGTAGACACCCCATTTTTGATCGCCCTTAAGACTTGGGCACCATTGATGGTTTACTTGGTGGAGAAAGGTGTGCAGGGCAAATGTTCAGTTTCTTTGGCAAGGAGAGAGGAAAATCTTTCAAAACACTTTGTTTAGGGGTTTGGAGTTGAAGAAGAGAGGAAAGGAGAGGAGAAAACTAGTTTGGGAGAAGTTCGGCATGAATCCAGGTAGAAGCGAGTCAAGCAGCCCTCGCTGAATCGGGCTTATCTGTCTGTACACTTAGAGTTTATCTATGGGGCCACCACCTTCGGAAAGCTTACTTCCGGGGCTTCATTTTGCACTCAAGAATCTCTTAAAGCCAAGTCCGGGTGGGGGAGATATGATCAGTTGAAGTTGGGCATCATCCCGGTTGGATCGAATCTGCGCGGCTTCACTAAAAAGGGCATAACATTTTGCACAGTAGGGATTTTAATGCAAGGTTTGCGCCATTGGAAAGATAACTTCCGGGGCTTCAATATAGCACCCACCGGCTGCTTTGTGACCTTTCATCCACCTATCGGCAATAAATTTAGCCGACCGGCCAGAAAATATTGCAAGCCGACCATTTATTGTGCCGACTGGCAATTTATTTGGCCGATGACCTCCTTTCATGGCCGATATGACCCTTTGGCACCCCTCAAGCATGGTGCATGCCAGCTGTGCCAGCTATTCTCCATTTAAACCCTCAGTCCGAGATCTTGCCTTTTGGGGGGGAAATTCGAATTTGTTTTTCCCCCCCCCCTTTCCTTGCCTCTCTCCCTCTATAAGACCAGCACCTCTCCACCATTTCAAAAGGTTGAAGAAACCAGCTGAGGCACCATTATACATACAACCCTATATCTATACATTTAACCCTCTCTTCCAAGCTCCAAAGTCCATTATCCTTGGCCATTTACACACCAACACATAACACAACACCTCCACACTCCATTCCAGCAACTTGAGGCTATTTTTCAGAGGATAGGAGCACCATTTCTTGGTCCAAAAGCTGCTGTGTTGTTGCTCTACAAGGGTGAGCCTTATTCCCCTCTTTTCTAGTCTTTTCTTGGTTCATATCTAAGCCTTGCTTGCAAGTATTTCTGGGCTCCAACCCGAACTTCAAATAGTCATATTTTGACCCCCTCTTCATGTTTGATCAAGGGTCTTTTGCTGTTTGAGGCTCCCTTTTTACACTTTGTGTTTAAACCTTCTTTTAGGCCTATTTCTTGCATAGTATTTTAAGCTTACTTGTGCACTGTTTTGGGCTCGGACATAAACTGTAAAATACTTTGTTTTGAGCCTCTCTTCAACTTTGTTGAAGGGCTC